AATGCTCTAGTATTTACTAGATATAGGGTAGCCTGGTATATAAAAGAGGGTGACAACGTGACGGGAGTGTGTGTGTGTGAAGATAGTGAGTAATTGAACTGCAGTCAGAAGTATTATTGACGTTCGTTGATTTTGCGTTTGTTTTAGCGCGATTGTTGAAAATAAGTGTATCGTAAAGTTGTATTCGGAAAGAATAAACCAGTTTTATTAAGTAAGGACTTGTGTCGCTAAAGTTTCGTCCGAACGAAGTTACGGAAAATCAATTAAAAAACGGAGACGTAACAATATTGTAGGTGTACCAAACCATTACAAATGTGCTCATGTTGGGATAAAAACAATGAAAATAAACATGATGTTGTCCGAAATTCATTTAAACAAGACAGATTCGATCTTAACAGATAGTTGATCATCATATTCCAGTTTATTCTGTAAGTAAAATATAGACAAACGTGCTTTTGAACTAGCAATAAGGGTAAATGATGGGCTAATTTTTCAGAGATAGGAAACATATTCACAACAGATTACTTTCTCACTAGTTTATATAATTCGTGCTTACTTTGACGTTACGTTGTTTTCTCAGTGCAAACTAACCCAATGGGCTAGCTGCACTCTATCCACCGCCGGGAATCAAAACCTGAGTTTTTGCGTTGTAAGCCACTGGGAGATTATGATACACGTGTCATTTCATGATATTAAAAAGTAGTTGATCTTTTTCAACCCAATTTGCTTTCGATAAAAGTTGGAAAACATTCTAACATTGGTGACTGAGCCACATCAATCGTTTGGTGTATTCGAAAACCTACCTGACGTACACATACATTTCACTTGTGGTAACACTAGTATCACATTTTACTCTTTTATAACTAGTATGGAATACACCTTTGTCATCCGAGATATATATTCAGGTAATGTTGCTAAATTTCCATGCAGGTATTCTTTTCTTTGCATTATTTGATTAAAAGTTCAGGTTTTACAGTTAGGAAGATTTGTAAAAAAATTGTAGCGTCTTATCCGAAGTGCTACTTCTTAGTAATAAGGAATCAGGTTAGGTCTATTGTATGTAATGAAGTAACAACTGTAACTTGCAATAAAATAATACTTTATCAGTAAGTAAACTCAAAACTACTACTCTTTATAACTTTTTTTTTGCAGTCAAGTTTTAACAGTAAATCATATGTACAAAGGTAGTAAACATACTGTTACGTCTCCGTTCGTTACTTAATTTTCCGTAAATTCTTAAATAAAACTGGTTTATTCTTTCCGAATATAACTTTGCGATACACTTAACCTCAACAGTCGCGCTATAATTTTCAACGAACGTCGACTTCAACAATACTCAGTTCAATTACTTATTACCACTGTTCCCGTCACGTTGTGAACGTCTTATATATACAAGACTGACACACATCTAGTAAATGCTGGGGCATTCTTGAAGGAACAGGATATTTCTAGAAACAGGTAGCGTGATACTAGTCACGTGACCTCGCTGACGCAACAATACATTAATTTTCCTGCTCATGTAAAAGGTTACACGACAATTACTAAACATAGTGTTTACTCTGGATTGCGGTAAGCCTTTCAGGAAGTGACACAATCTTATGCAATGTTTACGAGTTTCTCATCTTATTACTTTTTTTCGAACAGTTGTTGGTGCAGGTAATCAGATGTTCGCGAGATACTACACTACGATTCTGGTCTAACTAAGAGCGGTATTTCAAAAGTTTCCTACCTCAGCTGTAGTCCTAAAATCAATAAAGTACTAGTTAGGAGAAATCTTACATTCAGGGCACGGCCTTATTTTTGTTTTATTTCGTTAATGTGCGTATGCTTAATTAAATTGCTAAACATGTAACATTAATTTTTCATTCTAGGCATGTAAAAACATTGTGAGGAAATGAGTTGTTTGTTACAGTCACGTGCAGAGTAATAATGAATAAGCATATCATGCTCTTAGGAAAAATGTGAAAATTAATTATAACTTAAAACATCTGATGAGACCTGACACTGATATAAATTAGCTTCTTTGCTTACAACTGAATTTGTTGCCTAATTATGGTTCGTTTAATTGATGATTTTTTTCGTTATGATATTTTTAACTAGTCTTTACCCAAAGTTTCGGCTTCTAATCTGTTGCAATCAGGAAGTTGTGTCTGGTTTTATTCTATCGTACGGGTTACTAACATAACAGTTGATATCCGATAGCTATAGTCATATCTTAAATAAATATGCATTTCCAAAGTCGCACGAGTGTTAGTACCGATATGCACACTTTATATTATACAGAAAGTATACTGTAGAGTAAAATTCTTTATCTCATATTCGGTATGTAGTTTCGGTTTCATTTTATCACCAGTATCAATAAATTTGAAGTTCATTTAAAACGAGTTTTACTAAACCTTTGATACACATCAAGTTATATAAAACCGTAAAAATACTTTTTTCGGCGCTAGTAAATTATTTTACATAAGATTCATACACTTTAAAAAAAAAATAAAAAAATTACAGGATCCATACCAGCGTTGCCAACCTGTTTTTACTGACATCAAGATAAACATGCAACATAAAATGATTTTTTTACCGGCTGTTCGTAAATTACAGAGGGCTGACAAACTTGACCCATAGTAAATAAACTGGCATTTTCGTTTACAGAACATGCCCACCAACTGAAACAGCAGCAGTCTAGGGTCTCGCGACGTACGAGATTTACATGTTTAACCTAAAACAAATTTCTACAAAGTAACCAGTTTATTTTTTTTTAATTTAGCCGATTAAGGTTTGTTACTGAAACAGAAATTAACGTTTTCCCAGAATTCCAAAGAAATTAGCAAACCGTTTTTACAAGAATGATTACGTACAAAAGTTTTTAATTATCAACTCTTTTATAAAATTGCCCCCAGTGGCACAGCGAGATGTCTGCGGACTTACAACGCTAGAAACCGGGTTTCGATACCAGTGGTGGGCAGAGCACAGATAGCCCTTTGTGCATAAATTCAAACAAACAAACTTTTATAAAAAATTCGTTATAATTAAGTAATAAAAAACTCGGAAATAACTGAATTTGTTTGAAATCACGTTTCTTACTTAATACAAAACAAGCCTATACTGTGTTTCATGAACTTCACAAATTTATTTACATCTAAAGTTACATACATACGTTGAACTCAAAAGTATTCATGTTTTTAACTGATTTATACTCAGGTTTTAGGTTAAATGACAAAGTCAGAGATCCCCAAGCGGACCAGAAGGAAGATGACCAGTCGAAAACACACAAACACATCATTTGAAGCATATGCCCGAAACACAATTTACTCACACTGCTTAAAATGAGTGAAACGCATTTGGCAGTAAGTCACTCACCCAAGACCCTCATATACATTACCAACTAAAAAGACTGATTTAATCACTCTAATATTTGGTTTAAAATGTGCCCTTTGTTTTAAAAGTACACTCTCTAAAATTGAGGTTTGAATGCATTGCCTTGAATTTGTGGTCTTTGCTCTAGTGAATAAAGAAATTATTTTTTGACAGAACTAAAGTTTTCCAAGAGGTTATTCCTTTGAAAATATCACCAAAATCGTGAACATTCAAAATGTATTACTTCGTAAGTGAAAAATTATTCTCTGTTGACTGATAAATGCCACCCAATTTAGTCATTAACGACCACGTATTAAAATATACTTTTAAACAAACAGAAGTGAATTGTGTAGAGTTTATTCCGATTTATAGCTACAGATGCATACAAAGTAGTTATCAATGATGGTAGCTGAGTGGAGGGGGGTTGGTATACTTTTTTTAAATGTTTAAGTACCAAAAATCATCTAAATTGTTGTCGTAAGTTTTTTACATAAGTTATCTTGGATCAACATGAAGAAAAAAAAATCAAACATAACTTAAGATACAAAATGAATATTCAAGATATAAAATATAATATTTAAGCTATGTAGATTATATATCAGCAACATTTATGCGTTGGCTTCTACTGTTGCCTTTTCTGGCACTTCTGTTTCAGCCTCCTCAACTTTTGCCTTCTTTTCCTTACTGCAATCTTCTGTGACATCACCTGCTCCATCTTCAGATTTTCTTTTTACAGCATCTTCGTCTGTTGGTGTTGATTCTGAAAAAAAAAAAAAATCATTCATTAGTTCACATCTAAGCACTTGTTAACATCCATATAATTATCACAAATCTACCACTACTGTGCTAATTAAGTGTAAAAAAACACAATAATTAACATGTGGTGCCACAGACAGATTGCAGAATATTTTAACTAATGAAATCAAATATTTTCACACACCACCATTTTCCTTAGTTTCTTCATTCTCCTTTTCTGCTTCTGTTGAGTCTTCTGCTTTTTTCTCTTCGGTTTCAGTTTCTTCATCTTTCTTTTCACTTTCCTGTTTTTCTTCTTTATCTTCTTTTACAGTTTCAGTTTCTTCTGGTGTCTGTCAAGTAACATACATGTTTAACCTTGTTTAATGATTAAAAGGTTTACACATCTGAATCAAGTCCTGTACTTAAATATTTCCTGCGTAAATGACATAAAATTTCTCGATAGCCTTAACTTACAATATATAAGTGGCTATTTAAACATTTATCTACATACTTTGAATAAAATAATTTCCACGTAAAATGCCCAAAATGTTTCAAGCATTTAGGTATTAATTAGATTTATAGAACTGACTGATACCTCTTTTACTTCTTTTGGAGTCTGTTCTTTCAGATCTTCTGTAACAACCTCTGCATGCTCGGAGCTATAACAAATATTAAGATAATTAGATATCGTAAAGGACAAGTTTGAACTCGGTTACCATTGTTTAACCACCATCAACTATAATACTTATCTTTTTGAAAATGACCTAGACTAACAGTAACTTCGAAATCCTTACCTTTCAATCCCTATTATTATCATGCACACTATATCACGATGTGTCAGTAATCACACATTCACTAGTTTAAGATTAAACACAGATTTTAATTTTTATTCTAAACACTGACCTAACACTATCATTTATTTACACAGCATAAAGCTTGTAAATAAAAATGCAGATATCTGATTTGCAATATACTTATATAATGTTATATAGTACCTACTCGCCTGCATTATAAACACGCGGCACAAAAAATGATGTGCGACTCCAATTGTCCTCATGGTAAAATACTACGTTGGAAAAAGATATGTTATAAAATTAACATAGCCTATTATTATTTAAATAAGATACTATCTTCTACGGTTGGACCTCGTCGCCGAAAAATTAAAACAATATGCAACAGCCAGAAAACACGTGAAACTATATAAAACAACCAGTTACTGAGTAATAAAGGCTTCATTCTTATTGCCAAAATCGGTATAGCCAAACACATAGAACTATAAGTGGCAGTATATTTAACGACAAGAAAAACTACCACACAACACCCGAAAACAACATCATCACCAATATTATAGATTATCACTTAATCCATACTGGCCGAATGTTTTACGGTTAACAGTGTTGGATTCTCAGCAGTGCTAGTGGTGACCTCTACCGATTGAGCGTGAAGTTTACTCTTGAGTGTTGTGCCGAATACACTCGATTCGGTCTTGCGAAACAAAGCAAAAACAATTTTTCTTAAATGAACAATGCTACCGATTAATAGTTTTATTTTTAGTTCATGATATATGATAATAATATATGTTCAATGTTTTGTCAATGTAGATGCTCCGATTCTATAAGGACAATTGCAGTCACACATTTTTGTTTCGTGTGTATACACTGTATTACTATTGATTATTGCTATATAATAACAGGTTAGTATAAAAACAATTCTTCCAAACGTATACAGGTTAGCATATATAAATGAATAAAAACATCCCCCTCTTAAAAACGATTGTATATTGGTTTCAAATCTCCGATTTCTTGCTCTTATGAACCGCTCAAGTTGATAATAATACATATACTGCATATGTAATCAAATTCCACAGTAACCTCATTATCATTTAAATACAGTATAAATAACACTAACAGATTACAACTTGATCATCAACGACAGTAAAGTTAACGTTAAATTGTAAGATTGCAATTCACCTGACCTAATTCTTATTATTACTTATATTTAACTGCAAGTATATATGGTGAATGTAAATCCTTGTCCATTGCATAACGCACGTAAAAATTTATTATTTCAATGAAACTTGAGATTTGTTTTAAATTTAAAGTTGCACGAACTGACTTAGTTTAATTTATTGTATTACTTTCAAATTCAAATTAATTTTTTTTCACGGAGTCATACGTTTTACTTTCACTGTTTTAGACCAATAGTCGTAACTTTGTTACTCTTACAGTGTTGGCAGGTAAAAAATTGGTAAAACTAAGTTAACATTATTGATCTTTAAGTTTAAGTCACATTTATTGATTTACTATAACCTATATGTTTCAGTTTGAACTTAAAAGTTACTGTACTGTACATTAACTTAGCTTAATCCTAAGCCTTAATTTTAGGACTAATGTAAAACTTTTAAATTTCAAAATTCAATAAGATTAACAAGTAAAACAAACTAAACGTGAAATACGATAACACCGTATTTGGAGTATCTCTAATGGTTAAAAAGTATAAGTTTCAGGGTAACTTGCCTTTGTCTACCACGAGTGGCCGGCATTTTAGTGTAGAACTTGAACAAAGAAGTTAAAATGAGAACTCACAACATACAACCAAACACTCCAACGTACGAACAATGAACAGAGCGGGAAACCAAACTCTCCCACGAAGCTTATATAGAGTTTATCACGTGATAAACCTGTCCAATGATTATTGTGCAAACGATAGAAATTCTCCCATACAGGTTATATAGAAATTAACCACGTGACGAACTTGTCCAATGAGAATTGTCCAAACAATAACCTCATTCAGTTTCTTCGCGCTCGAAACATGAAAGGAGTATAACTAGCGTTTAAAAGATTTGTAATACGACGTCACAGGAAACCACTGCAAGGCCACCTAGAAACATATCGTACTCCTGTATAACGTAAAACAAAGAAGTTTAGGATACAGAAAAAATTGAATAATATATACCATTATTTTGTACGAAATATATGTTTAATATAAAAATTTTGATCAATTAATTAGTTGTTTTTCTTTGTATAAGTACTATTTTGATGGCACCACTGAACAGAGTTCCTGGATAGCGTACACTCAGTAATGGATACACCCATAGATGTATAGTAGCTTTATATATGCATATATATCTACGGGTTAGACTTAATCATATTACGTTTTCTAATCAATCTAAATATGTTTAAACCATTTAAAAATACTTTAGTTGAAAACAATACTTTTTTCGGAGCTAAATATGTAGCGCTATGTGAAAAAAGAGTTTGTTTTTGAATTTCGCGCAAAACTACACGAGGGCTATCTGCGCTAGCCGTCCCTAATTTAGCAGTGCAAGATCAGAGGGAAGGCAGATAGTCATCACCACCCACCGCCAACTCTTGGGCTACTCTTTTACCAACGAATAGTGGGATTGAGCGTCACGTTATAACGCCCCGAAGGCTGAAAGGGCGAACATGTTTGGTGGGACGGGGATTAAAATCCGCGACCCTCAGATTGCAAGTCGAGCGCCCTAACCACCTGGCCATGCCGGGCCAAGAATATTGGAATAATATGACAAGTATTTAAAAAAGTTTGCTTATAGTTAAGCATAAAACTACACAATGTGCCATTTGTGCTCTGCCCACGATTGGCATCGAAACTAATTTCTAGCGTTGTAAGTCCGCAGACATACCGCTGTGCCACTGGGAGTTTGATAAAGAAAAACAAAAACTGCAAATTAAAATAGAATTAATAAAAATATACAGAACTTTGGATATATTGTTACAATGTGAATATTCCTTTACTTAAAAAAGTTTGACGTAAAATGAAGCTATAAAGAGAAGTAAAGCAAGATTACTTATCAACAGAATATAGTAAAGGTTAAGGATGTTAGTTTAATGTCTTCTAAAAAAAATATAAAGGCCACGCACGTACGCAGAGGTGGTTCGGCCAAACCCCCTATTTTAGCATTGTAGAAAATATATATATGCTTATATGGCTATAGTACAGCTGCTTATGGTATTTAATGTTTTATACATAGCCTATATTCTTCTGAGGAAGCAAGACAAGATGACTTCCTGTATTTCTCTAGGACAGGCCCTGGATACTGGCTGACTACTTAAAAGTGTGTTTGAGTGTACCAAATATTTTTATGTTTCTGAAACTCTTTGCCACACTGCTCTCCGCCGGTTGAATGATTAAATGTAAGATTATTTATGGAAAAGCACCTTAAAAGAATGGAGCATGCTAATATGTTATTTCAGTAGTTCATACATGTACGTATATGATAGCCAATGAGTAGTTTAAATTAGTAATACAATTTAACAATTAATAACTACTCTGTATAGATAGCACAGTACTTTACTAAAATAATTTATGTTAATTTGAGTCTAGTTCCCCATGCAGTGTTACAACAGAATGATTATTTGTTCACTTTTCATTGGATGTTTGTAGATTTTATGTGAACAGCCATGCAATTATTTAAGCTATATTTCATGCAAAATTGCGTCCAGATTTTATTTAATAGCACCCAGATCCCCGTAGCATTAGCATGCTGATTGTGTTTTGCACAATATTGTTGTATTTTGATTTCACATATTAAAAACCCCCTTTCAAACATTCAGCGTACGAGTCTGAAGGCTATGGTTGAAAGTACAAGAACTGAACTGTGTATTCAATAACTAGCACTGCTGTGGAAAGTCAGATAAATACATTCACATACAAAATGAATCGATTGCAGAATCAGATAGAAGGGTATATAATTAAAACCTTTTGCATCTCACTTATCCAAAGTTACAGAGTTTCAGCCATTGTAATTTTGCCATTAAATCAATACTTATTGAAATGCTAAATTAAAGATAAGAAATATTACAGTCACCATAATCATTCCACTGATATGTGTACGAGATATACCAGTTTCCACAGACTTATTTCTTTGAACTGCATTTACTACAAATTCATCAACATTTTACACAAATGTGACTAAGGCGTAGTAGCTAGAGTACTCTGATCGCAATATTCAAGTCGCGGGATTAAAACTTGCCATCAAACATGCTCGTTCTTTTAACTGCGGGAGCATTAGAATGTGAGGGTCAATCCAATTATTCGTTGGTAAATATCAGTCCAACATTTGGTAGTTGGTGATGTTGACTACCTGTATTTCATATAATTATATCACTTCGAAATTGTAGATGACTAGCGCAGACAGCCCACTAGCAGTTTTGCGCGAAATTAAAACAAACAATATGACTATATCCAGAGTTCTATAACGTATGGGAGTATTTGCGCTTCTCCTGGGCTATTGTAAAACTATTATATATAATCAAAAATTATTGTTGGAAGCAATAAAAGCCATTTTGTGATTTCTAAAGTGAAAGAAACAGACGGCAAAAATAAGCTATTGTTCTTGCTACCCTCCAGGAAAGTTTGGACATAACCAGAGGCGTCGCTAGGCACTGACACACGCGACCCATGCCCCAATTATATTTGACAGTGCCCTAAATCCCAGCTGGTATCTTGAAAAATTGGAATAGAAAACTATGATAAATATCATACTGAAATGCCTAAAATTCCCGCACCTATGGGCTCGAGCCCCAAATTTTTTAAGCACTTAGCGATGTCTGTGGACATAAAGATACTTAGAAAATTACGAGAGAAAAGTTGGATGACTATACGTCAGTTATTTGATTTGGAATATTTATTTATCCTCTGTTCTGTTATTTATGTAATCAGCTAACTGATGAAATTATGCAGACTAATTCCGATAACATTCCAATTTCGAATAACCTTTCCAGACATTTTTA